TCAGCAAGCGCAGTAAGGCTGCGCAATCAAAAAAAAAAAAAAAAGCAGCGGATGCCTGTTTTCTGACTGGTCGGTGGACCGCTGACCGGTCAGCCCCGATCAGTCGGGACAAAACGGTTGGAGGTCGGGGTCGGCAGTCGGCGCCGGTGCAACCCTGTATATATATATATATTGTCACATAACTAAAAACTAAAAGAGTGCACTTTGCGAAACAAAGAATAAAAACAAAAAACGGGCACATTGCAAAAATATATATATATAGCCTCCTGATGAGTCGGTGAAACTCCGACGAAACAGTTTTGTCACAGCCCCTCGTTTGTTGTCCTCTTCTCTCTCTCTGCCTACGGTTTACCGGGCAGTTCTGTTTGTGTTATAAAACATGATGTGGTCCCTGCCGAGAGTACAGTCCTGACTCCAGGTACAGTCCCTACTCAAGATGCAGTCCTAAATGTTGAGGGATTGGAATTTGGAACATGATCTGCCCGGATTGCAGTTGACCCCACAAGGCGTAGAGCACATGGGGGATCTGCAAATGTCTGACCAGCATTGTTCGGATGAACCACAAATTTGTGCTCCGCCACGTGCAGACCACATGGGGGATCTGCAAATGACTGACCAGCAAACAACCCAACACAGTTTGGGCTTGCAACACCATCTGGGTGATCTGCCAATTTTTGGCCAGCATCGAAAAAAACAGCTTGAGAACCTCACCAATCTCTGTGGTCTGATGGCAACTAATATCTGTCGTTACATTCTCCACCGCCCGTTTTATTCACCATCAGACTTCCTTGCAATCGCCCTTCAGCTTGATGCTGATCTTCCCCAACTACAGCCAGAGGATTGTAATTATACCAGCGAAGGAGGCTTTACCATTGCTGTCCTGCAAGTAGCAATGAGGGACCGTCAACGTGAACTAAGCAATGCTCGAGCAGGTGAGTGGTTTAATCCTCCATCCCACGCCTTTGCCTGCATTGTGCACGGCCCTGGCCATTACATGGCCATTGTACGTGCCTCTGACCAATGTGAAACAGTATTCACCAGTTCGCAGTAGCTGATGCAGATCCCAGGGCTCGATCCCTAGTTCCCCATCTTACCTGTGTACAGTACCGGTGTCAACCCGTAGATTTGAACCTGCGACCTGTAGGACCGCCAGTGGTAGGTAGGATTTCGTAGGTTACAGGGTAGAGGAGATTTGTAGACCTGTCGGGTAGAAGTCTAGACAGTCTAGAGGTCGTAGCTGTAGACTGTCTGAAGGGTCAAGGTCGTAGCTGCTACTTACCTGAAAGGGCAAAGTCGTAGCTGCTACAGTACCGAAAGGCCAAGATAGAGGATTCTAGAAGTGGCCTTTCGGAGTCGGCCCACGTTAGGCAGAGGCAAGTGGTCAAGTGGTGGTACACCTCGTACAGTCAGCAGTCCCAGTCCACCCAGTCCGGTCCAGTCAAGCAAGTACCGTTTGGGACTGTCTGCACCGTGGGCCAGGGAACACGGCCGACCAGCGAGGCACAGAAATATAAATCAAGAGGCTGCGTCCAGCCATTGATTCATTCATGCGGAAGCCATGCGGAAGCGCTGCCTCAGCGTCTTGTGCAAGGAGGTCTGCAGTATGCCCGAAGACGAAGTGGGCGAGAGTGAAGCAGGGTAGCCATAGCGATAGGTAGCGGCAACCATAGCTGCCATAGCTTAGTATAGAGTGCAGTGTGTGTACTGTGTGGGTGGTCAGAGTGATGTGCGTGGGACATCCAGGGTGATCCAGAGTGTGAACAGTGAGTTGTTTGGGCGCACAACCGCCATAGCCAATTACAAGAGCCCTCTTATCTGGTTGCGATATCTCTGAGTACTGTTTGGGCGCAGGTCGCCAGTTTGCTGTATCGCTGTTTACATGCATGAAAAGAGTGAATGAGCCGAGTCCGATTGCACTGGTATCGGAGCTGGTACCCCCTGTTCCATGCGCGCCGTCGTGTGCAGGCTGAGGTGCCATAGCTGAGGTGGGCGCTGGAGAAGATAGTTCGCCATAGCGGACCTTCGGTGGAAGAAGCCGCCGCGCCATAGCGGACCTTCGGTGGAAGAAGCCGCCGCGCACCTGCATCAAGAGGACCACGACGAAGAAGAAGAGTGAGAGAGAGAGAGAGAGAGAGAGAGAGAGAGAGAGAGAGAGAGAGAGAGAGAGAGAGAGAGAGAGAGAGATACAAGATTGGGTTGCTACCTGCTGCGCTGAAGATATCGCTACGGCGGGAGAGAGAGAGAGAGAGATGAGCGATCCAAGATTGGTTGTCATTTACGCGTGAGGTGAGTGTGTAGTCTGGTGGATGAAGGATAGGGCCTTGCTGCCAAACCTGCACGGGACTTAGTAGAACTAATCTCTACTCTGGGATCTGGAGACCTGGGCATGAGCGGCGAGCGCTCGTTAAACAACTCGTCTAGCCCAATGACTGGTACTGTCTGGTAGGTCTACTCAGTTTCAGTGTAGAGGGTCCGAACTCGGAGCTGTAGGCTGAAACGAAGGCCGTCTTAAGTGTTGAGGCCTGGTTGAACCACTCCCCTACCGAACCCAGTAAGGCTGATGATCTGTGTCTGATGACTCGACTGTCCCTAGTGATACGAACCCCTCCAAGGACCGGTATAGACCGGCGGGCTGCTCGGTGTGGCACAGTAGGCCGGAACGGCTGAGTTGTGGGCTGAAATCGCCAGGAAGAACCACGTTGATCACGTCGTCCTGACTGCGACGTTAAAGAATTCTTGTGGAGTTTGGGGGATCTCCTTAAATGCCTCCTGATCAACTGTTGGTTCAGTAGTGACAGCCTTAGAGTAGTTTTGAGTAGTGGTCTTAGAGGGTTAGTCAGGGGGTTAGTGTCCGGGTAGGTCTAAGTGGTGAGGAGTGGGACCTTTGTCGTGCCCCTGACACCGCGATGGATGACTATCCGATGTATGGGTTGCTTATTGGGTTCTCCCTTTGGGGGACCCTTTGGCGTCTCCTCTTTCCTCTGGGCTTTTGGCCCACTTTCACGTGTAGAGTAAGGACTCGGGGTGGTACTTCCACCCAACCGTACACGAAGGAGGAGGAGAAGATGGTCGTCGTCCTGAGGGAAAGAAAGGAGAAGAAAGAGGTCAAGAAGAAGGCCGTACAGGAGGAGCAGGCGGCCAACTTGAAGAAGATAGAAGAAGAGATGGTCAGAGAGAAGGAGATAATAAAGAAGGAAGAAGAGGAGAAGTTGAAGGAGGTGGAAGAGGAAAGAGGAGGAAGATGAAACACCACTGCAGAGGAAGAGAGGGCAGTACAGTTGGCAGCGGAGATGATGAGATGGAAAAACGGATTTTAGAGGAAGATGTCATAAAGCGGCAGGCGATGGAAGATGAGCAGAGGATGGAGTGGAAATTGGCAGTGATGAGGGAGAAGAAGAGAAGAGTGGACGCGGCAGCAGAGGCGGCAGAAGAGTTAGAAGAGGTGAAAAAGATAGAAGAGCAATTAGCCGCCCAGACTGAAATCCCAAAGCAAATGCAGGTTATAGCCCGAAATGTTGCACGCCTAGCACGAATCCAAGCTGAACAGTATGACTTCAGCAGGAGTCATCACATAGTCGTGCGATCAATACGATTGGGATTTCGGGACTTTGCCCGTGAGTTGGTAGGCGCTGTAGGAGCCGAGGTGGGCTATCGTCTCGACAAGACTGAGCGGTTTTGCGTTGGCGCCATTGAGGGCGTCAAGGCAGCAGCTCCCAAGGAAGAGGAACCACGTCCGCGTAGAGAAAAGGGAAAAGGGAAGAAAACTTTGACAACTGGGAGGCCAATGTCAGGACCTATGTGCATATGCAACAGGTCTCCCCGGATCAGCAAGTTCTAATTGTGATCCACGCACTTAGAGATGAGGTCGCCAGTTTCGCAAGGTCCCTTGTTCGTTCTGCCAACTGCAGTGACGATCCAGTGGCGTATTCCTCGTTCACTCCCCTCGCCGAATTCTTGAAGCTGTTGCGAGAGTGATTTGCAGATGTCTCTTGAAGTGTCAAAGCCTCGAACAAGCTCCAGACGATCCATGCTCGTAAGTGGAAGAGTGCCAGGGCACTCGAGAGCACAATGGACGAATTAGTAGCTGTCCTTGACCACGGGGTTACAAACACCCAGTTGGTTGCCCTCTTCTATAGAGCGATGCCCGAAGCTTTTCGCGGGCACTTCTTCACGAAGAGCGAAGACCCTGCCACCACCTACGATTCCCTTAGCCGTGAGGTGGTGGCCTTTGAGGCAAAATCTGTGTCAGTCTCCACCTTCTGGCACAAAGATTTGGATAAGGGAAAGCAATGGAAGGGCCGCACTATCACAAAGATTTGGATAAGGGAAAGCAATGGAAGGGCCGCACTATCACAAAGATTTGGATAAGGGAAAGCAATGGAAAGGCCGCACTATCACAAAGATTTGGATAAGGGAAAGCAATGGAAGGGCCCCACTATCTCTGGGCAAGTGAAGACTAGGCATAGTCTTGTCCTAACTTTAGATGAGGGTAGTGTGGATGAGATCCCCTACGATCAGATTGAGTGGGGGTTAGAGGAGGAGGAAAGCGGTGTGGGCGAGGGGAGAACTTACGCTGATGTCGCAGCTGGAGGGAGGCCGCAGGGAGGAGGACGAGGCTAGGGCCAAGGGGGCCGGGCCTCAGGGAGCCGGTTCCAGGGCGATCAGGGGGTTGGCGGCAGAGGAGGAAACCGCCAAGCGGGAGGAAGGGGTCAAGGTCCCCCGCAAAACCGTCCTAGGAACAGGTCTCCCTATAGGGTAGGAGGATGGCACCCAGGGCTACCCCAGGGTAGGCCTTGGGAAAGTTTGGGTTTGGACCAGGACTTATGGCAAAAGCGATTGGACCAGGGCTAGTGCATTTTCTGCGGTGACCCGGGCCATATCATCAAATACTGTCCTAAGTATAGAGAGACCCGGACGACTGCTCAAGGGCCAAAAGGCAGCCGCCGGTAGGGGTAGCAACTGCCCCTACCATTAGGCCATGTGGGGAACATAGCGCTAGCCGTCAAGAGACTCCCACACCACATGTGCCTATGGCAGAGGTTGCAGGCCGGTGTCTAGATTGCTGTCCAGAGACTGCTTGTGTTAGAGTCTCTCTAGACACCTGCCTCACAGGCGTGGCTGATGAGTTGAAGGAGAGGATGCCCGCCTGGGCCAAGATGAAGAAAGAGAATAAAGGGCAGCTTATATTACTAGATACAGAGATTTTTAGAGGTAGAGTAGGGGCCCTAGTAGACTCTGGGGCCACCCGTAGCTATATCAGTAAGAAAGCGCTGCAGAAATTGAAGTCCAGAAACTAGCAGACCCCATAGTTAGTATCCTCGCGGACAATCGTACTATGGTTGTAGAGGATTACATAGAGGGAGTCCAGGCGTACTTCCGCCTAGAGAAAGATGGGAAAGTGGAGAAGGTCCTCCACTCCCTGACTCTCCTCGTAGAAGACAGCCTCCCATTTGATATTGTTCTGGGGATGGATTGGGGAGATGCAGCCGGGGCCATGCTCCATTTGAAGGAGCACGAGTGTAGGCTCCCTAGTTCTTCAGGCGAGGCCAGGACTGCCCGCCTGTTCCATGTGTCAGGAGTAGAGAATCCCTTGGCACATTGCTACCTTAGTGCCCCTGCGTTCGCCAGATTAGTGAAGAAGGAGAAATTGGAGGAACAGGTTTTTGTTGCCTATGTTAGGCCAACGACTGAGCCTACAGAAGAAAAGCCGATGGACCCTGTGATTGCCAAGCTGCCGATAGGAGTGGTACCGCGGCCCATCCAGCACCGCATTGAGATAGAGCTTGGCAATAGAACGCCTAAGGGCGCTGTGTATAGGATGTCCGCACGGGAATTAGAGGAGCTTCGCAAGCAATTAGACAAGCTCCTCGAGAAGGGTTGGATTAGGCCCAGTTCGTTTCCTTTTGGAGCGCCTGTTCTCTTTGTTCCCAAGAAAGAGGGAGAGCTGAGAATGTGCATAGACTATACGGGCCCGAATGCTATTACAGTGAAGAATGTTGAGCCACTGCCTAGGATAGACGATCTCTTAGATCGAGTGCAGAGGGCGAAGTATTTCTCCAAGATCAGATTTGAAGTCCGGATATCATCAGATAGAAGTGCATCCTGATGATCAGTATAAGATAGCCTTCCGGACTTGATACGGGCACTCTGAGTTCATAGTGATGCCCTTCGGACTAACCAATGCGCCAGCTACGTTCCAGCGCCGTATGAACGATTTGTTTAGGCCATGGTTAGATAGATTTGTTGTTGTCTACTCAGATGATATTTTAGTGTTTAGTAAGACCCTCCAAGAACACCAGGGTCATCTCAGGCAGGTCTTGGAGAAGCTGAGGGAAGCTAACTTCAAGATCAATGCAAAGAAATGCGATTGGGCAAAGACCCAAGTTTTATACCTAGGCCACGTCTTAGACGGAGATAACGTTAAACCAGAAGATTGTAAAATCGAAGCGATTAGAGATTGGCCCACGCCATGTACGCTAACAGAGTTGCGCTCGTTCTTGGGCTTAGCTAATTACTACAGGAAGTTCGTGAGGAACTTCTCCACCATCGCTGCGCCCCTTCGCAGATTGTTGAGGAAAGAGACCATTTGGAAGTGGGACAAGGACTGCACGTCTGCCATGAAGAAGTTAAAGCAGGCGTTGATAGAGTACCCGGTCCTTAAGGTAGCCGATCCGTCCTTGCCCTTTGTCGTCACTACGGATGCTAGCCAGTACGACATAGGCGCGGTGTTGCAGCAAAACGATGGCAACGGTTATAGACCCGTAGAGTTCATGTCCGCCAGGATGCCTTTCGAGAAGGTCGCGATGTCTACCTATGAGAGGGAACTCTACGCTCTCAGGCAAGCCTTAGAACACTGGAAGCACTACTTGCTTGGGAGACACTTCAAAGTCTATTCCGATTATGAGACGTTGAGATGGTTAAAGACACAGGCCAAGATGATACCTAAGCTTACTAGGTGGGCCGCAGAGATAGATCAGTATGACTTCGAGCTCAAGCCAGTCAAAGGAAAGTATAACGTAGTTGCGGATGCTCTAAGTAGGCGAGCTGATTACTTTGAGGCAATAGTGCGTTACCTAGACATAGGGAAGGACCTGCAGCAGAAGATTAGAGAAGCCTACGCACAGGACCATATCTATAGTGACCTCCTCAAGAGGGTCAAGGAGGCCCCAGAGACTGAGCCGAACTACCGCACTACTGAAGGGTTGCTTTTTGAGAAGACTAATGCATTTTATCGCCTGTGCATTCCCAATAGTGAAGAGATCCGCAGTCTGATTTTGGGAGAATGCCATGACACAGAGGGTCATTTTGGTTGGCAGAAGACTTTGGCCAACCTGATGCGCGCATATACCTGGCCAGGAATGAAGAATGACTGCGTGGAGTCTGCCAGCGTAACAAGACTTCTACGCGTGCCCCGTTAGGTCTTCTCAGACCCTTGCCCATTCCGGATCAGCCGGGATGGCAAGAGCAGGTCTTCTCAGACCCTTGCCCATTCGGGATGCCAGCGTAACAAGACTTCTACGCGTGCCCCGTTAGGTCTCCCATAGACTTCATGGACACTCAGGTCAAGAGCAGGCATGGCAAGAGCCAAGTCATGGTCATAGTTGACCGTTTTAGTAAGTACGCAGTTTTTGTTCCTTTGCCTTCAGAGGCACGTACTGATTTAGTCATACAAAAGTTTTTTGACTGCTGGGTTAGTGAGAATGGAATTCCACTGTCAATAGTTAGCGATAGAGATAGTCGCTTCACCAGCCAGAACTGGCAAGAACTCATGGGAGTGTATGGATCGAAGTTGTTGATGTCGTCTGGCCGCCATCCTGAGACTAACGGTCAGACAGAACAAATGAACAAGATCCTACAGCAAGTTCTGCGCATGTACATTAGGCCAGATCAGATTAACTGGGATGAGATGTTGCCTAAAGTAGATAGTGCGTATAACAACAGCGTGCATCTGTCCACCTGCCGCACTCCCAAGTTCTTTAGACCGCGCAGACCGTTTGAGGGACTCAACCAGGATCAGATCCACAGATTACCGCCCGGAACCAGGGAGTTTGCTGTACAGCACGAGAAAGAGCTAGCTACCGTTGTGGAGAACCTCAGGAAGGCCCAACACAGGATGATAGAGCAAGCCAATAAGCATCGTCGCCCCTCACAGTTCCAGGTAGGTGACTTAGTCTAGGTCAGTTCTAAAGAGTTTGCACCTGAGGAGAACATCTCGCAGAAGTTACTACCCACCTATAGAGGACCATGGCCAGTCTTAGAAGTCAAGGCTGGCGAAGATGGACCGTCCTATACCATAGAGCTCCCAGCACACCTCCACACTTACCCAGTTTTCCATGCATCGAAGTTGCTACCTTGTCAAACAAGTGATCAGTTTCCATCCCGTAGGTCGATGATCCCACCGGATATGGATGGAAGATATGACATCGATGGTATAGTAGCTGAAGATGTCTTCAGGACTGGACGTAGGGGTCGTCCACAGAAACAATACAAAGTTCATTTTAGTTATCAAGAACTGGAAGACGACCGCTGGTTTACGAGATCCGAACTTCCAGAGACAGCTCCTGATATAGTCCGGGCCTACGAGAGACAACAGAGAGGTCAAGGTCCTGCCTTGGACTGAAATTTTCTCGGAGGACCTCGAATTTAGGCAGGAGTGAAACGGTATTCACCAGTTCGCAGTAGCTGATGCAGATCCCAGGGCTCGATCCCTAGTTCCCCATCTTACCTGTGTACAGTACCGGTGTCAACCCGTAGATTTGAACCTGCGACCTGTAGGACCGCCAGTGGTAGGTAGGATTTCGTAGGTTACAGGGTAGAGGAGATTCAAACTGTAGACATGTCGGGTAGAAGTCTAGACAGTCTAGAGGTCGTAGCTGTAGACTGTCTGAAGGGTCAAGGTCGTAGCTGCTACTTACCTGAAAGGGCAAAGTCGTAGCTGCTACAGTACCGAAAGGCCAAGATAGAGGATTCTAGAAGTGGCCTTTCGGAGTCAGCCCACGTTAGGCAGAGGCAAGTGGTCAAGTGGTGGTAGTCCACCTCGTACAGTCAGCAGTCCCAGTCCACCCAGTCCGGTTCAGTCAAGCAAGTACCGTTTGGGACTGTGTGCACCGTGGGCCAGGGAACACAGGGCCGACCAGCGAGGCACAGAAATATAAATCAAGAGGCTGCGTCCAGCCATTGATTCATTCATGCGGAAGCCATGCGGAAGCGCTGCCTTAGCGTCTTGTGCAAGGAGGTCTGCAGTATGCCCGAAGACGAAGTGGGCAAGAGTGAAGCAGGGTAGCCATAGCGATAGGTAGCGGCAGCCATAGTTGCCATAGCTTAGTATAGAGTGCAGTGTGTGTGTACTGTGTGGGTGGTCAGAGTGATGTGCGTGGGACATCCAGGGTGATCCAGAGTGCGAACAGTGAGTTGTTTGGGCGCACAGCGGCCATAGCCAATTACAAGAGCCCTCTTATCTGGTTGCGATATCTCTGAGTACTGTTTGGGCGCAGGTCGCCAGTTTGCTGTATCGCTGTTTACATGCATGAAAAGAGTGAATGAGTCGAGTCCGATTGCAAATGGGAGCTGTGGGACAACGGCGCCATGGTCCATGTCATGACTGATGTCACTGATTTCTTTCAAAATGATGCGGTTTTCTTGCCACAACAAACGGTCCGCAATCTCTCTCTTATGTTGAAGATCATTCCTCTGGCCCCGTGCTGCAGCAAGACAATGTACCAACCCTCTGCGACCTTCTCCTTTGCACAGCCAAAAACACTGTTACACTCGGCTGTGTCCGCCATCGCCTCTGTCACAAGCACTACAATGACATGGTTTCTGCATCCATGTGCGTAGAGGACTGTCCCCCCATTCCTGACAGTTTCCACCCTCCGCATCTGGACACTATATGTCCATTTTGCAGCCATGGGCGCTACCATGGGCGCTATACTGAATGCATGTTTTTTTTGTGGTGAGCGTTCTTTCTTCATTTTGGCCTGCAATAGACATGCCATTTGTCGGGACCGTATGGTCGCCATGCCAACTGTTATGCTGAGAATGCTCAGCTAGGTCTTCCATGGGCCCATCCACCTCATCGTTACAGTGTGTGTCCTTTCTGCCGTTAAGGACACACATTCTTGAGCCTTTTCTTATCCTCTCCCTTGCCCTCGTCTTCGTTCCACACTCCATACTTTTGCTTACTTTCCCTTATTCATTCTTTGTTTCTCTTCTCTTCATCTCTCTTCCCTGTGTTTATAACCGCCCCCTTCACTCTGCCTCTTTCTCACAGTGTACAAGTGGACCGTTATGGCACACGGGGATGTGGGCAGCTCGCTCTCTACGTCATCAACGTGGTTAGTCTTGTATGTGAGAGGCACGGTGAAGGGGGAGTTGGAAGAAGAATGAGAAAAATGAATGGTTTCAGTGTGACCCTCATGTTTGTGTTGTTTTTCTGTTGGTTCCGATGACACATCGCGGCCAACGAGTTTGTATCTTTCCACACGCTCGAATACAAGTACATAGTGCGCAGTTTTCTAGTGGATGGAAAGAAGACGGATCTTGTGGATGGAAAGAAGACCGATGTTCGCACAAACACAAGTCAGTTTTCTAGTGGATGGAAAGAAGACGGATCTTGTGGATGGAAAGAAGACGGATCTTGTGGATGGAAAGAAGACCGATGTTCGCTCAAACACAAGTCCATAACGTGCGGTTTTGTTGTGGATGGGGCTTGGGAGGAAAAGGAGCGGGAGGAGGATGAGGGGGAGGAACAGCACATGGGCGCAATAATGACAAGTGGCGGGAGGAGAGGCGGGAGGAGAAGGGGGAAGACGATGAGCAGGAAGAGGACAGTGGGTCCCCCTCCACTACTAACCACATGTGGAAAAGACAAAACATGGCTGTGTATCTTCCCATGTTCTAGCGGATTCATTTTCATTTTGCACATTTGGTGAGCAGTGGAGCAAAGTCAAGTGAACGGGAGTGCCAGGAGGAGTGGGAGTAGGGGCAGGATGGCGAATGGGAGGTGGAGGGGAAGGAGGGGGAGGATGACAAACAGGAGGACGAGTGGCAGGAGGAATGGAGAGAGGAGGGGGAATGTGAGTGGGAGGAGGGGGAAGGCGAGTGGGAGGAGGGGGAGGGTGATCGGGAGGGGGAAGACAACGAGCTGGAGGGGGAGGGGGAGCAGGATGAGTGGCAGGAGGAACGGGAGGAGGACGGGCAGAACGACGAGAGGGAGGAGGACGGTGAACCGGAGCGGCAGGAGGAGGTCGACTAACGGGAGGAGGAGATTGGGTGGCCTCTGGAGGAATAGGCAGGAGAACCGGAACAAGGAAGGGAAGGATGGCCAGTGGGAGGGCGAGGAGAAGCAGGAGGAGGATGACAAGAAACAAAAGGAGGATGGGGACGATGAGCACTAGGGGAGGAGCGGGAGGAGTGGGAGGAGGAGGAGCAGGAAGAGGATGAGGGCAGAGCATGGGGTAGCAGGAGGAGGATGGGTGGAGGTGGCATGAGGAGGACGAGATGGTGGACAAGGAGTGGGATGACGGGCTTTTTTTTTTTTTTTTTTTTTTGAAAGAGAGAGAGAGAGATGATATCCTCCCTGTCCTGTTTGTGAGACCTGGCAGGAGATGGGGGGCAGGAAGAGGGTTGCCGCGGGCGTAGCTGACCCGAGCCAACTTGTTTTCCTACTTAATTACTCGTCTGGTTATGTGTACGACCATATTCATCCTCTGCGAAACAGTTACTGCTCCCTCATGCTTCATAGACATGGTCGTGTGTGAAGATGGTCCGATTTTGTTTTACTTGACAGATGTGATGCAGTACCTGCTATATGACTGAATGGTACACACGTGCTTACTGGATCGATTAGTGCTGAGGCTTTCTTTAACGTATGTATGGTCAGGAGTTGTGAAGCAGCGTGGTTCATACTCTTATTTGCAAGCACACAGTGCACTCGAGAAAATTGTCCTTGATGTTGCAGAGTGAGAAGACTGGTTGAATTGTATGCTGGTTTGTTTCTGTGATATGCATTCACGTGTGACAGGCATGTTGGCTGTGGAGCTCCATCGACCTCAGTAACAACAACGACAGCACCATCAGCACAGGCTCTACCTGCCCTGCCTTCGAATTCGCCTTCAGATCCGGAGAATTGGCAGTATGATCCGCTATTTTGAGATGCAGAACGAGTATTCCTCACAATGAAGAAGAATATGGAACAAACAGATGGTTAACCATGAAGCTAAATCTGTCCAGTGCACGATCGTCTCGCAGTGGTCTTGGTCTGCAGAAGTGTCAAACAAAGCTCTCTTCCAATAGTGCCTCCTACTGGGATATGGGGTCCGAATGGAAATTGGCATTTCCCCAGACTTTGCATGTCATGACCATTCAGTCTTCTCAGCTGCGTCAATCACAGCCGTGTAATTGAAGCTCGATCTGCTGTTGGCAGTTCTCGAGTATGCATGTGAGGACGTGAGCATATGTAGCGGTATCTCGCTTGGTCGCTTGCCTGCGGACTTTCTGAGCAGGTAACCTACCTGGCAACCGTAGAGAGTCTCAGAGAGTACCTTGCGAGCGACACTTGAAATCGACTCTGCGAGCATTTCAATCAAGTGCTGATGAAGGAAGAAGTCTACTGATGAAGAGAGAACGGGGCACCTGAGTGAGCTTCGATGTGTGGATCCTAGAATTGCCTGCAATAGGCTTCTTTCTACAAGGGAATGCGTCTATGGGCGGATTCGACTGGATTTTATTCGGGTATAAAGCAGGGTACCATACGAGTGGAAATGAAGGCTTCTTTCTACAAGGGAGTGCCTCTATGGGCGGATTCGACTGGATTTTTTATTCGGGTATAAAGCAGGGTACCATATGAGTGGAAACGAAGGTGCGTTCCTCGATGAAAGGAGGAGAGAGGCTATTCGAGTGAGAGACCCATCCATCCATTGTGATGTGTCATCATTGATTACAGGAGGGTTTGAAAAGGGCACGGAAGAGAGTTTGAGCAGACGAGGATGTGTTTTGCTGCGTACGGGAACTTCGCGCAAAGTGGCGGCAACAGTCAACGATGCGCCTTGCCATTTTACACCAGGTTTGTGGAGTTTTTCCTTGACTTCAAACAAGGCTGTGTGCGCCTCTCTGGTCAGAGTTTGGGTGTTGTTTGGGATTCTTTGGCTTTTTTTTTTTTTTTTTTTTTTTTTTCCCTTCACCTAATTTGCAGAGCCCATTGGAAGAGGAAGAGGAAGCTGCGTAAACTTCTCGAGTCTAAGAAGAGTTGGACTCGTTCAGGGTGATGAAAAGAAGGGGTCTCATGTGGTGCGCACCCCTCGTATGGGATGGTAACAGCGATTGTACAGGAGAGATTTTCTGACTTTGCCGCAGCTTTTAGCTGAAGATTTAACTGAGCGCGACCTGGAGTGACTCTCCCTAAGGGTTGGTTGGTTGGTTGGTTGGTTGCAATATAGTTGTTGTTCAAACAGAAACATAGGAATAAGCATAGTAGTACGATATGGACGTCCATGAACGCTGCACTCGGTAATGCCAAGGAGAGAAGTGTTTACGGAAAATTAGTGATACAAATTCTTTCTTATCGGTGGAGACCAGCGGAGAGACTCTGAACTGGGAGTAGTAAATATTTTGAGGGACGATGGAGAGGAAAGGTTCAGGAGACAATTATTTAAAAGCGGATATGGAGTTATGGGGGAACACACAGGGAGGGGAGCATAGAGAGGAGGTGAAATGTCAGGGGGGAAAGATGGCATGCCAGACCATGTGATAGGTTCAGATTTATGGAGATGAATAAAATGGCGGAGAGGAGAAGAAAAGAGTGGTAAAATGTTGATAGCGCCCTTGTGGTGCTGGTCGAACCACTCGTATAACAGACTGGGAAAAAGTATTGCTGGCATTGATGAATGGAAAGATGGGGAGCAAAGTCATGCAAAGACTTTGTGACGAGTCGAGGAAGAGATGGGCGGAAAGAGAGATCCGTAGAGCGAGGTAGAATGTAAAGACTCCTACTCTACGTGCTGGAAGTGGTAACATTGTGGTTGTATGCACTGGGTCATGGAGCATTTCATGCTGAGATTGGATGAAGTACTGGGGGCTTCATTGTCACATCAACCCACTTAACCTTTTGGTTAATTGTCTGCTTCCAGTGCAATGTTGATAACGCCCTTGTGGTGATCTGGTTAAACCACTCATTTAACAGAACGGGAAAAGGACTGCTGGAGATGATGAATGCAAAGACTTTGTGGCGAGTCCAGGAAGAGATGGACACAGAGAGATCCATAGAGAGAGGTAGAATGCAAAGAGTCCTACTCTACGTGCTGGGTGTGGTTTTATGCACGTGGCCATGGAGCAATCCGTGCTGGGATTGCACGAAGTACTCAGGGACTGGGCTGGGCTTCATTGTCACCCCTCCTGCTTAGCCTTTTGGTTAGTTGTCTGCTTCCTTTGCGAGAGGTTGCCAGTTAAGTCTGTCTGATTTGGTTACACTCGTCCATGAGACTCGTGCCGGTAGCTGATCGTCTGCGTCATTGTCCAGGGCAGGGTGCAGGTGTGGTTGGTTGGTTGGTTGGTTACACTGGGTTACGGACCAACCTAGCCTATTGGTTTTAGTGTCTTGGCTTCGGTTTCAACCCAACCCACTTTTAGCCCAAGGGCTAAGTGTCTGTTTTCAATTGGGAAGGTCCCGGGTTCGATTCCATGGGGATCACATGGATTTAGCACCTGCAGCCAATGGTTTATGTTGCAAATGTGTCTGTGTCCACATGATAAAGTGGTTGTCCTGCATCGCGGTGGGGCGAAGGACTTGGCAGTGCTTCATGTGCACCCACCCACCCACGGTGGAAGGCTGTGAGTTGAAGTCCTTTGCAGATTGACTGACATAGATTCATGTAATTTTCATCAAGTTAATTGCAGATTTGTCGTATCTAGAGTCTTTCTGCTGTGCTCTTTGTTTTTCTCTCTTTTTCAGTTTCTTTTTGTTCAAACCTTCTGCACCAATGAATATGATTTTGTCACATGGAGGAGTTTGACTTGGACGGGACGGAACCACTTCCTTTTTCTTGCGGATCGAGCTAAACAGGCATTAGCTAAAATGGTTCTAGAACCCGAATGGGAAGCCCGTTTTGAACCTCACTCTTATGGATTTAGGCCAGGACGTAGTTGTCAAGATGCCATGGAAGCTCTGGCTAGAGCCATTAGAGCCAAATATGTGCTTGACGCCGACATTGCGAAATGCTTTGATCGAATCAACACTTCGTGCCTCTTGGAAAAGCTAGACACATATCCTGTGATGAGGAATCAGATTAAGGCCTGGTTGAAAGCAGACATTATGACTGATAGCTAGAGTATTGATTTCCTGACCTTGCACTGTGCTCAGCAGATGCTTCGCGTCTGATCTGATGCCAGATAAGAGAATCGCAGATATCTGGAAAAAGGCTAGAGGTGTGTCTGGAAGAAGGATGTAATGTGGTCGATAGGCCTTCACTCCGCAAAGGATTTCAACTCACAGCCTTCCACAGTGGCTGGGTGCACATGAAGCACGGCCAAGTCCTTCGCCCCTTCGCGGTGTGTACGCCAACCGTGTTAACATGTCGACTTGGCGTACACCGCAGTGGGGCGAAAGACTTGGCAGTGCTTCATGTGCACCCAGCCACTGTGGAAGGCTGTGAGTTGAAGCCCTTTGTGGATTGGCTGGACATTGACAGGACAGTGTGTGTTCGCGAGGCAGTCGAGAAGGGAGGACTCAGCCTTCTTTTTCATACAAGGTTGGCCAATCACGGGTAGAGTGAAATTGCTGGCCCTACTGAAATCACTAAGCAGGTCACATTCGAGTCCTGAATTTCATATGTTGATGTCGTCATAATGCTCCATATTCCTCGTTGTGTGTATGGGGCAGGAGGCTGCAAGGGGGGGCCAGGGGGGAATGGTCGTTTGCTGCAGCCTGCAATTGGTAACTGCTACCATCTCCCTCGCCAGTTGCTTAGAATCTTATGATTTTTTTTTTTTTTTTTTTTTTTTAATTTACCCCAGTGACTTTGCCAGGAGAGGTGATAAAAGCACCCCCTCCTAGCAAGAGACCTGGGTGCAGAGGGCGCGGCCTCTCCACAACCGGATGCTCCGGTCTATTGGTGGGAGCAGCACCCGCTGGAAAGCGGGTCCAGCGTCCCATCGTACAGCCGACAGCCTGCCAGCATTGAGTGCCCTGTTTCCAGGGGATTAACTGTGCAGGTTTAATGATAAGTATGTTGGACAACAGTACACTTACAGGGCGCCGCCTCTTCAGTCTGTGCCATACCACCAGATCCCTCATGTTTCCCTAGCGGCTACTTCCTACTTCTGATGAATACCCACCGATACCTTCCGTGTCCTGTTTGTTGACCCGCTGCTTCCTTACTTAGGTACTCCGTACCATTGCATATCGACCATTCTGTGGATGGTTGCGGTGGGATCTCTTGGCCCACCGTAGTCCAGTCTCTGAAGCAAATACGGTAGTCTTTCCTAAGTTCCTCCTGGTTACACTCCTGGGCGGGCCTATTATCCCATCGGACAGATGCGATCCAGCCCCCATCCTCACTGCCCAACCGGTCCCCAGAGAATTGATGAATTGCTTGTGTTATGTCCTTTGATGAATGAAATAACTCAAGTTGGTTTTAACTCTTTGTGACTGTACCATGAGTTCTTGTTGAATGTATTGTTTCATCATGTCTGTGACCTCTTCTCCAGCTATGCGGACCCCCTCTATAGCATGGATACAGCGTTTTCTCCAGAGGGTCCACATGACCGCTCTCCTCCCTGACTTGAACTTGTTTTTAAAAGTGTCGTCGATGGGGGAGGTCCATGCCTAGCATAATATGGCCCTCCAATCCCATGGCCATTTGGACCCAGTGCCCAACAGCGTCCAGATCCTGTCTCACCATTGCCATGTGAGAACAGCCCCTGAACATTGCATGAATATATGCTCTATGGTTTTTTGGAATTCTCTTCCATGTTTGCGGCGGTTGCGTCTACCATATGTCAGGTCGTCGGGAAACATCAAACAGACAGGGATCACATCTTTTGGGATGGCCGAGATCTGCAGCTTCTTCAGGTTTTTGTTGGCGTGAAGGTTCGCTGCGAGCGCCTCCATGACAATTACGAACAGGAAGGGCGCCAAAGGATCCCCTTGGCGAACCGACCGTTGCAGAACTTGCAGTGGGAAGGCCGGGGCTATCCTTCCATTGACTTGGACACACGTGGTGACATTGTGATGTGGTATTTCGGTCCAGCGTCGCAAAACTGACCCGATGTTCATTTTTCCCATACACTTGTTTAGGAATAGCCAGTCCATGTGGTTATAGGCTTTTTCAAAATCAATGAAGACCACGGCCGTATTCTGTTTGTCTTGTCTCGTTAGTTGATGTTATCCTGGATCCTGTAAACCCGGTTTGCGTTGGATGGATAATATCGTCCAAGACTAATATCAGTCGGTTTGCCAGGGCTTTCACTAGCATTTTATAAACGACTTTAAGCAAAGTTGTTGGCTGGTAGTCCAGAATATCCATCACATCTCCCTTTTTGTGCAACAAGGTGAGAACGCCTTGCCCCACCAACTCCCCCATCTGCCCTGTTTCCCACACCTGTTGATAAAACTCCATGAGGTACGGGGCCATCTCACTCCAGAAGGTCTTCCAGAATTCCTTTGGAAACCCATCAATGCCCGACGTCTTTTCTTCTTCCATTTGCATCATTGCCGTTCAGATTTCTTCCTTGGACAGGGGGCTATCCAGATCTGTTTTCTGTTGTCTTGTCAAGGTCTTCTCCAATGGTTTCAAGAAGTCCCCGATTTCTTTCTCCCTGATGTTCCTTTCTTGTCGGGCGCACCTTGAAGTGAACAGGTCCTGGAAGAAAGATCTTGCTATCTGCGCGCAATGGGGGGAGGAGGTGATGATATCCTGGTGTCCGGTCTGCGGATCTTATAGCACTTTGATGGTTGTTCTGCGGGAACGTGCACGGGCCATGCTAAAGAATTTTTTATCCGTTGTTCCTTCTGTTTGATGCCTTGTCAGTCGTCCTCTTATTCGTGTGCCCTCCTAGCGTTGTGTGCAAAGGTCTGGAGTCGTTGTCGCACCGATTGTATCTTTGAATAGTCTGCTTGCTGTGAATGTTGGACTCCGTTAAACTGATCCTGGTCCTCAAGTTGCAGCAGTTGTTCGTGTATCTCCATCTCCTGCTGATGCTTCCTGGCTGGTAGAAGTTTGGAATATTATTGGCATATTTTACCTAGATAGAACAGTCCATTATTAAACCAGTGTATTTCCTGCTGAAAGTGCTGTTTTTGCATGTGCCAATACGTCCAGCAGTCTGTAATGCAACTCTGAAAGGTTTTCTGCTGCAAGGTAAAGGTATTAAGTTTGTAAAAGCCAGGTCCACGATCAGATTTCTTTCGGAAAGACAAAATGACCAGGAACATTTTGTGTTCAAGGCCGGGGTAGGGGCTAGCAGGCAGGATCGCTGCTAGAAGCAAAGATCCCCCCATGTCTTCCAAGATCAAAATTAGGTCAATCCAGGATCTCGACTGGCTCTCAGTCCCAGTCTTCCGTAAACACGAATCGAAGACTTTTAGTGAAAGACATAGATCGTTGATTATCCGCTCATCCTCCTCCACATACACCGGGCTGAGGAGGGCGTCCGCCATCTGTCCATCCATCGGTCCGGGGCTGCATTGCAGTCCCCTGCTATAATGAACGGAACCCCATCCGGAATTTGCATTTTAATGTTCTCAAAGAAAGTTTTTCTCTCGCTCATGGTATTGGGGCCATAGATACATAAGATTTCGAGTTCCAACGTAACCAGGATAGACACCCATTGACCTCCCTCCTGGTCCACCACCCAGTGTACCGGGTTTGCCCGGGACTCGGGGGGAATCCAGATGGCCACCCCTGCGCTTCCTGGTTTTGGGGCATGGGCCCCAGACCTTACACAACCAGATCATTTTGTGGGTGTGATTGTTCTCCGGGGTGTCCATCTGGTGTGTTTCCTGGACGCACATGATGTCCGGCCAGTTCCAACCCTCCACTCCTCTCATTAAATCCCAGATTGCATTTTGTTTCTCCGGTTTGCACGAGGCCAGGTTGTTCACATTCTGCTGCTCTCCTGCGTTGGTTCCAGATAAGAGCCTTCCCGTACACTGCTCTGACCGGGTCTATCTTACACGCGCTGTTCATATTAGATAATCATCAGTTGCAGTTCTACAGACGGATCCATGGCAGCTGATGAGAGGTTAAAATGTCCAGGTTGGACATTTTGCTGTATGCAATGCAATTTCCTTGTGGTCCCATGTTGTTCATTCTTCCCTCTCTGTGAATAAACGGAGGGCTGGCCTGTGTCCATATGATTTTTCGGAGGGGCGGTCTAACCATTGGGGCGTTTCATGGACCTCAATTGAATCAGATTGATGAACTATGTTTGGAAAATGTCATAAATATGGCTTGCTATTTTTGAGGGAACAAAACACCGGATTGGATTCCGAATGACTTGTCGGTGGACTACTTCTATGCGGCTGATGCAAGCACTCAGGTTTCTGATAGAAGGGGTTTTCATATTGGATTTGGATTTGGTGTCAGAACCTGGGAATAATGGTACCTCTCCCCTCTTGTTTAGTAGGAGTCACAGGCCCCCCGGGGCCAAAATACTGGGGGGTGCGCAATAACAGCCTGCGCCCCCAGGCGAAAAATAAAAAAAAATGATTTTTACCCCTCCCCGGACCCCCCACCGGGCCCATATCCACCATTGGTGCGAGGGTGGGGATGGCTGGGGGTGGGGGTGGCCCGGAGCGGGGGTGCAGGGGTGCAGGGGTGCCTGGGCTGGGGTGCAGGGTTGTGGGGGCGGGGGTGCAGGGG